CCAGGAGACGGTGAGTGCTGCGTTTTCATAGATGTGCTGAGAAGATCTCACATTGATATTTGGTTTTCTTTATTGTAGCTGACAAGGAGGCAACAGCATGGCGATGGCAGGAACTCGGCAGACGGCATTCCTTGGCAGCCCGTGGGGACTCTCACACCCCGGACGTTCGAGAGCTAACTCAAAGGCTACGATCCGCAGAGGGGGGATGGAAGCGGGGTGCCGGGCTGGGACTCGTGACCAGGAAGTTTTGAGTCTGCTTTGGACGTAGCGAGGTTCAAGAAGTGGCCCTTTAGGCCACCTCAAGGGAAAGCCTCACTTTGGCTCCCAATGCTGAGGTGCACAGGGCAGAGCGGTCCGGGGATGTGTCGGGTCACTTGTCTGTCGTGCCTTTTGTGCACCTCGTGTCGTATGTGTCTTGCCTCAGCCCTTCCAGGAGGTTACAGGAAACCCTGGCGTCACTCTGAACATCTCTGATCTCTTGGTTCCTCGGCCTGGCGCTGACACTGTCAGAGCTGTGCCTCGGGACCTCTCAGAGGCCTTGGAATCCCATCTCTGTTTTTAAGCGTCCGATCGGGTGTCTTTTGAGGTCTTGTTCTGAGCTGTGTCCACAGCCGTGCGCCGCAAGGATCCATTGTAGCGGGCTAGGACTTGTCCGAATGCAAGGACAGACAGAGAATTGTGGCCGTAGGATTCTCGGGCATCCGTATTTGCGCTTCTCGGGATAAGTCATCGTGTCAGCATCTTCTTTCTTCAGGGTTGTCTCGGCCTTATCAGCTCGCCATCATTCTCACCTGGGCCATCTTGTTCCGCATTCTCTGGGTCCTTGCGGCCATTCTTCTGGCCCGGAGTTTTGTCTCCCTGTTGTGTCCCCTTGTCTGTTGTCTTGTGTGTCACGGGTGTCTGGGTGTATTTGGGTCGGAGCTGCTCTGCCCTGCTGCAGAGGCTGGCCTATGGTCAGCTGCCATGGGAGAGGCTTCATATTAAACCAACTGCTGAATGATTTAATTAGTCTGGTACCTACGGCTTCTGATCATTTGCTTTGTACAAATGCATTTCAACAGTTTGCTGTGCTGTAAGCATCTCATAGCTGCTACTCTTGAGAACCTTGTTTTAGAAATTAGTTAAAAGGCATCTTTCCAGTTTAAAGCCTAGGCTCTGTCCAAGCCTTGACTTTACCTGGATAGAGAATTTACCAATAAACCCAGAAGTTTTCTGCATCGAAACAATATTCAGGTCAATCTGACTTGGCAATTAGTGAATTAATATAGCAGCTGGATTTTACAGTGGGCTTGGAAAATTGTTATCCGGACATGATTTTCCAATCTTCCATTGATTTATCAGCTGTGGCAAACTCTGGGATGAGAGTATATATTTAGAATATTCAGTAATTCATATTACAGATAATTTAGATAAGTTTAATATAGCATAGTATCAATTATGCATCTTTTTAAAAAGTTTTTGATTTCTGTAAAAATGTTATTTCCTATATGTATACATATGCATGTGTTTTACTTTGATGGTTTTTCATTGTCAGTACAAGACAGTGGGAGGAAACAGAGGTTGCAGTTCAGAAGCATGGAAACACGATGTACGTATTTTAGATTTTGGAAAAAATGCAAAGATTGTATATCTATTACAAATAATTCTTGAACAGTCCTTTTTAAACAAGTCTGTTACAAAGCAAATTCCATCAATTATCAAGTACTGTTCTAACAGTAGTCAAGCCATCAATTATCAAGTACTGTTCTAACAGTAGTCAAGCGAAGTTGAGAGAGAATTCTTTGATTCTGGTCAAAAGTTCAGAAGCAAGATAAAAAATTCATTTCAGTTAATAATTTGGAGTAAAGTCTATGTTTGTGTATTCACAGGTTCAAAACAGAAGTAACTTCCTAGCGAAGAACATGGAAACTCATCAGCTGCAGAGACAAGCAGACAGCCCAAAGAGCAGAAGAGCGAGCACGCAGATGTGAACCGTATCGAGACCACAGTTGACAGCTGAACAACTTTGATCCAACATGCGAGAGCAATGGACTTTGGGTTTCATGTGAAAGAGTGGGAAAATTGATATTGTAAAACCTCACTTGTTAAATAAAGCATGGTGTGAACTGTTCAAGATTCAGAATCCTGCATGAGAGATAAAGTCCTTGAAGATGAAGGTGAATCAGGTATCACCCTTGAGCTGTATCATTTTGTTGATCACTTTGTGATGTGATGTCACCTGCATCACTTCTTTTAGTTAACTCAAAAGAAAGCATACCTTATCTCAGTGAAAATAGTTTTTTGTATAATATTCAATTTTTCTTTTTATTTATCATGCTCTATATAAAGAGGCAACATCTTAGTGTAACCTTATATCACTCTTAGTCACACCTGATTGTGAAGAGTTTGACTCATGAAATTTCTGATAGAGATTTATAACAACTCAGCTTTCAATTCAAGTAGCTTCAGCAGAAACTTTAATGCAATTAGACAAATTAAGTTACTGGTTAAGTAAGCAACCTATATCTATTTCTCTAGCTTTGAGTGGTTAGTTAACTGATGTTCAAAACTGGAGGCAGAGTGCTCTGTAGAGCAGAGCAGCAGTTCTGTTGGTGCGTAGAGCATGAGTGAAGGAGAAATAACCCTTTGTGAAAATTAATCAAAGAAAAGGTTTGGGTTGATATTTTTATTTTTTTTTTTCAAATAGAGGGGCAAATGTTGGAGTCTGGAATACAGAGTGCATGCCCTTGTTTCTGATGCTTAGTTATAAGATCCAGAAAAACACTGAATTTCATATTATATGAAATTCATGAGCACATTTTCATGGTGATACATGAAAACAAACATTAAAGTTAGATAGAAAAAGCTAAAAGTGTAAGTGTGTAGATTAGAAAGTTTTTTTAAATCACTGGGTGAAAAAGTTAGTTTAGAGAACAGGAGACAAGATGCAGGATTTACAGTGTTGTCTCTTGTCCCTTCTTTCTTCTTCATGTTCTTCTCCTGTAGGTTTTTGGGTAGTAGTGAGTGATTAGATAGAGAATGCCGTAGTGCATCACAGAGGTGATGGGTCATTGGGTCATTAAGAAAAATAATAGACGTGTCTATTGTTAACTGGGTAAAAATAGGTATAAAGATAAAAGAACTGCATGTTTCGGGGCTATTCTGTGCATCAGAGACAAAGTGTGCCACAAGGCCTTGTTTGTACCGTCAGAAGAAAGAAATGTACCAGATTGCAAAGATTAACCTTCTGCAGCCAGCCTGGAGAGACCTGTCAAGTTCTGTGATGACCTTTTAATAAACACGAAAAACAAGATTCTAACGAGCTTGGGAGTTTTCTTCAAATCATAGGAACTGAGATAAGCAGGGCTCCCCATGAGGGAGGATCCCAAAAGAATTCAATCCAAAGGAGGCTGAGAGATCCAAGAATAAAAACAAAAATACAAAAGAGATGCAGCAGAAACAGAGAAACAGAAAAAGGATTTTTTTAGAGAAAAGTTACCAGTGGCACTTGCTGTGCTCATTGTGAAAAGTTGCCAGTCCTCAGGTGACTGCAATCTGCCTACCTTCCTCGACAGCATCGGTGGCTACAAAAACTTACTCAAGTTTAAGCCTCCCCGAGAGGCTGTGGATTATCTTTCCTGCTCCTTGCAGGGAAGCCACGTCTTCTCTGTGACCAAATGAAGTCCCTCCTTCTGAGATGAACACCAAGCTATGGGCCACCTAGAGCTGTGCCCATCTTAACCTACGAGAGAAAGATCGACACTTTAAAACTCGGGAGCGTCACTGTGCACGCTGAAAAGCCAGAATGCACCATCTCCGGATAAGGCACAGAATCGCTCCAGTTGCAGACAGACATTTTTAAGAACAGATTGGAAATAGCTCAAGACACTTATTGCAACATTTCGATCTCGGGTGGCCTCTGCCATGCAAGAGAAACTGGAGTGCCAAATCTTCCTAGGCAAAAATTCCTCTCCTTGACCAAATCAATCCTCAACTGGCACGTGGCAGCTGAACTTTACACCCACGTGTGGTGCTAAATACAAGAAGAAATTGGAGTTTCCTTCACTGAAATGAGGGCAACAAAGATCTGGCCCTCACCACCTGTCAGGCACACCTTGGCAGACTCTGTTAGCTCGTGTCAGGCAGGGAGAAGGTGCACGAGGAACGCGTGCGTCCGCCTCGACGCGAGCGGAAGCGTCGCTCACGTGTAGCTTCCAACGTGCCCTGCAGCACACGGCCAGGAATGCACGAATGAAGTACTTGTTATGGGGAAGAAATAGACTGTTAAGGACTTTACCTTCATCTGTGTGCAGTATTCCTTGAGCTGAGTCCTTTCTGCCTCGTCGGTGGATTGAAGGTATTTCTTCCTAGACTTGTCTCCCACCACGCAGAGGCGTTTAGCGAACGCCAGGCTCGGACGGGTCTGTCGGAATAGGAGCAGAGT